AATAGGTCATCCATATTACAATCTTACTATAGGTCATCTGTATTAGTCTTACTATCGGTCATCTGTATTACAATTTACAATAGGTCATCCATATTACAATCTTACTATAGGTCATCTGTATTAGTCTTACTATCGGTCATCTGTATTAGTCTTGCTATCGGTCATCTGTATTAAAATTTACAATAGGTCATCCATATTACAATCTTACTATAGGTCATCTGTATTAGTCATACTATCAGTCATCTGTATTACAGTCTTACTATCGGTCATCTGTATTACAATTTACAATAGGTCATCCATATTACAATCTTACTATAGGTCATCTGTATTAGTCTTACTATCGGTCATCTGTATTACAGTCTTACTATCGGTCATCTGTATTACAATTTACAATAGGTCATCCATATTACAATCTTACTATAGGTCATCTGTATTACAGTCTTACTATCGGTCATCTGTATTACAGTCTTACTATCGGTCATCTGTATTACAATTTACAATAGGTCATCCATATTACAATCTTACTATAGGTCATCTGTATTACAGTCTTACTATCGGTCATCTGTATTACAGTCTTACTATCGGTCATCTGTATTACAATTTACAATAGGTCATCCATATTACAATCTTACTATAGGTCATCTGTATTACAGTCTTACCATCGGTCATCTGTATTACAGTCTTACTATCGGTCATCTGTATTACAATTTACAATAGGTCATCCATATTACAATCTTACTATAGGTCATCTGTAATAAAAAATTACAAAATAGGTCATCTGTACTACAGTATTATAATAGGTCATCTGTATTAGTCTTACAATAGGTCATCCATATTACAATCTTACATAGGTTTTTAGGTCTTTTGTATTACAATCTTACTTTAGGTCATCCGTATTACAATCTTACAAAAGGTCATCCATATTACAATCTTACAATAGGTCAAATGACTCAAATTTCCAATTCCTCTCAACCCTTTAATAAACCTATTACAACACTTGATTGGCAGTGTGAGACTGATTTCCACATGTCCTTGTATTTCTACTCATCTGGTGTATCCCGTCTTTTTCTCCTATTCTTCAAATTCCTTCTCCACTTTCATTACCGTGACTAATCTTCTCTTGATTTTGACCGTCTCAGCTACAGCCTCAATTCTGTCTCCAACTCTTGAAGACTCGAGACCCGATGGAACCTGAAGTTCTGTATCCCCTAAAAAGCTTTCTTTTCGAAGCTTTCTCTTTCCTTAGAATCCACCTCTAAGTCTTGCTGCCAAATAACAAGTGGCTTCTTCTTGGAGTACACCCTATTTATCAGCAATCTATTCAAGTGAATCCTAAATTTTCTCTTACAAGTTCTGAAAGTTATCATTTGGGTCTAAATTGTAATCACATCCATCTCATTTCTGAATGGTTATTGCTGTGAACAGATTCAATCAAACTTAGTGGATAATGTCTCTATTGCTGCCTGTCAATGTAGGAACCCATAAGAATATGCCACATTCACCACATGGACTTCCTTTTGATCTATGGATTGATCTTTGACACAGGTGTGATAACTGCAAGCCTTTGTTTAGATGGTGCATCTATTGCCTGTGCTAATCCAAGATTCCATGTAACCTTGTGTAAGAGATTAACATTAGTCATCAGCAATCATCAGACATTAAACACATGGCCATGGTAATATTCCCAAGACAGATAGATTCAGCTTATACAGGACTTTATAATAAGGGCTTAGAAAATGTAACTTTCTGTGGGTCTTTTGTATTACAGTCTTTCTTTAGGTCTTTAGTCTTTTTGTATTTCAGTCTTCCTACAGGTCTTTTATATTACAGTACATGTATTTCTATAGGTCTTTTACATTAGTCCTGCTATAGGTCTTTGTATTACAATCTTGCAATCTTTACAAATTGGTCATTTATATTAAGGTCTTTTATATTACAGTCTTGCTACAAGTCTTTTATACTACAGTCTTGCTATAGGTCATTTGCATTACAGTCATGCTATAGGTCATTTTGTATCATAGTCTTGCTATAGGTCTTTAGTCCTTTTGTATTTCAGTCTTCCCACATGTCTTTTATATTTCAGTATTGCTATAAGTATTTCTATAAGAGTCTTGCTATAGGCTTTATGTATTTCAGTCCTTAGGTCTTTTGTATTTCAGTCTTACTATAGGTCTTTTGTATTTTAGTCTTGCTTTAGATCTTTTATATTTAGTCTCGCTTTACATCTTTTATATTTAGTCTTGCTTTACATCTTTTATATTACAGTATTGCTATAGGTATTTCTATAAGAGTCTTGCTATAGGTTTTATGTATTTCAGTCCTTAGGTCTTTTGTATTTCAGTCTTACTATAGGTCTTTTGTATTTTAGTCTTGCTATAGGTCTTTTATATTGCAGTCTTGCTTTAGGTCTTTTATATTTAGTCTTTCTTTACATCTTTTATATTACAGTCATAGATCTTTAACTACATGCTAGCTGTAGGTCTTTTATACCAGTCTTGTTATGTCTTTTATATTACAATCTGTGTCTTTTGTAATTCAGTATTGCTATAGGTCTTTTGTATTTCTGTCTTACCATAGGTCTGTTGCATTTCTGTATTGTTATAGGTCTTTTATATTAGTTTTGCTATAGGTCTTTTATATTACAGCCTTGATACAGGTCATTTATACTAGAATCTTGCTATAGGCCTTTTATATTACAGTAATGTTATAGGTCTTTTATATTACAATCATGCTTCAGGTCTTTTGTATTTAAGCCTTGCCTTAGGTCTTTAGGTCTTTTGTATTTCAGTCTTGCTTTAGGTCTTTGGCTTTTTTGTGTTTCAGTCTTGATTTAGGTCTTTGAATCATTTTTGTTTTAGTCTTGGTATAGGTATTTTGTACTTCAGTCTTGCTACAGGTCATTGTAGTATGGTCTTGCTATAGGTCTTTAAGTCTTTTATATTACAGTCTTGTTATAGGCCATCAGTCTTGCTATAGGCCTTTAGATATTTTGTATTACAGTCTTGCTATAGGTCTTTATGTATTTTGTATTAGTCTTGATATATGCCTTTAGGTATTCTGTAATATAGTCTTGATATAGATAGGCCTTTAGACATTTTGTATTACAGTCTTGCTATATGCCTATAGGTATTTTGTATTAGTCTTGCTATAGACCTTTAGACATTTTGTATTAGTCTTGCTACAGGCTTATAGGTATTTTGTATTAGTCTTGCTATAGGCCTTTATGTATTTTGTATTACAGTCATGCTATAGGCCTATAGGTATTTTGTATTACAGTCTTGCTATAGGCCTTTAGACATTTTGTATTACTATAGGCCTTTTGGATTTCATATTACAGTCCTGCTATATAGGTCCTTACCACTTTTGAATCATCATGTTGCAATTATCAGACATCTCTAACTTGAAAGCAAACATGCAGGTCTGAAGTGTTTATAAAATTACTAGTCATTTTGATTTATAGATTTTCAAAATTAAAAATAATATTCATAATAATAATCATCATCCTGCAAATGTTATTTTCCACAGCAATATTCTCTCTGCTGGGTCTAATGTAAGATGTGAGAACCATTCTTTTGTGCATACATGTGGTCTATAGGTTGGAGATATGCGTGTACATGATTATTTGTCATCAATTTCAGTGTGGAGAATGGGTTTAAGATGTAAATCACTGTTAAGAAAATTAAAATTAATGTTCCCTATCAGATTTACATTAACAGCTGGTTTATTATGAAATGCCAAATTACCTCAAAATCAATACTGCCATTCTTGTTGAAATATTGATTTTTCCAAGGTTTTGTTTGAAAGATAAAGGACTGGCAAAATCCACAGATCTCTGTGTTGATAGTAATTTGAATCATACTAATACTTCCTCACAATGAAATTGGCAACTGTGATGGCTGCAAAGCAAGGTGTTATTGATTACAATTGACTCAGACACCTTAAAAGATTTTCATGATGGCTTCTAGCTTACTGCAATGATCCTTCTATCCCACTTCTGCCACCATATTATAATTTCATTAAATAGTCTTTTAATTTTTAAATACTGCATATCTGCAACATAGAATTTTTTTTGTATTCAACTCATTTGCAATGCAGTCAGATACTGAATGGTTCTGCTATTTAATATGAACAATACTTGTGTACAATTAGCTTTTAAATCATTAAATTTAAATTTTCAATATCCATCCATTATTTTATGATGTAACATTGCACAGTTAGCTTTCCATATGTTAGGTGCAAGAAGGTCATAAAATCTGAATCAAAGTAACATTTGATCACCATCATTGTCAGGACTAGGATCATATTCACAGCAGGTGATATTGATTATATCCAAAAAGTTTTAAACAATTCTTGCAAAAATTGTGCTTGTCTGAGACTATTCCCACACAAAACTTGCTCTTGCTCCAGATTTGTTTTGAACTGTAACATAATACCTTGCTACATTCAAGATATAACAAGGTCTAGAAATTTGAATCAAATACAGTATAAACTTATAAATATAAAATAACAAGAACAATCACACCAGCTAAACCTGCTCTAATGGTCTCCTTGAATCCCATCCCATATCCTCCCTTGACAGTTTCACTAAAGGTTAATATTTAACAGTTAACTGCTTTCAGCCAGGTGGTTCCTAACCAAACAGTAGTTTTTGACTGCTTAAAATGACCCATTGTTCATTTGTCCATGTAATTGAAGCATTAGTTTTCCCAAGAAAGGAATTGTTTAGGTAAAGATGTATAATGTGAACTGAAGGTAAACTTGCCTTATCTTCTTTGTATTCACCAGAGATATCACCCTGTTAGTGCAACTTAAAAATGGCTAATCTCTTTACTGATATTTAACAAATTTGAATAAAATCATAATATATCTTTAAAAAATCTGTTGATTAAGTAAATACTCAAGGTAAATCTCATTCTTATAGCACACAAACCCTTTTGAGATGGATGTTCTGATAAACAAAACCAAATGTATTCATTTTAATTGTGAACTGGACCGCTCCAGTGGCCAAGTGGTTAGAGCATCCACCTTGGATGCGGGAGGTCATGGGTTCAATCCCCCATCAAGTCATGCCAGACTTACAAAAATGATACTAACAACTTTTTCACTTAGTGCTAAGCATTAAGAGGTCAGTGTTAGAACTGGTCGGCATGGTGTCAGGATAATGTGACTGGGTGGGACATTATACTAAATGACTGGCATGATGCCCCAGTGCTTGATATCACTATAAACTGCCACACTGCAGACATGTAGCAATATGACTGAAAAATTCCTAAAGCTATGTTAAAAATCATAATCAAATCACATCACTAAATAGTGAACTGAGTTCATCCTGAATTTGCATTAGTTTTGCAACTTTGATCTATTAAACAGTTTTTATTAGTAATTATTGCCTAAAGGTAGTTCAGAAATCCTGATTATAGTCTTAAGCTTATTCTTATTGTTTACATTACAGAAAATCAAATTCAGCTTTAAACACCCATATAAATGGACTGCAATTAATTTAAATGAAAAAGTAATAACAAAAAAATGTTAATAGTATGTAGAAGGATGCATAGATGTGAATGTACAAAATACATTGTGATTAACTTCAGTTTATGGTGCAAATTTACTAAGCTGTTAATTGTTCAATATGAGAATTTTCTTCTAGTTCATAAAATTACTTCCACAAGCAATGGCTTGTTGAACATGTCTCATAAACCAAACTTTTGTTGTTATTTCCAGTTTAAGGTCTTGCTTATATACTCGACTAAAAAGACAAATGGAAAGATTTGTTTTTAAGTGTTTACCACCACAATCAAAAGAAAAAATAAATATTAGTCAAATTACTGGCCACCTGGAAAAAACTGACAGAATTGGACAACAAAACCAGTGTAGAGAACAAAAAATATTGCAATGATATATACAGAGAAAACAAAGAAAAAAAGGGAAAAATTTACCAGCACTGCATCTGTATTTTGGATTTGCCACAAATCAATCTCTATTTATTTATAGATATGAAATGTTTTTTTATTATATTTCTGTCTGGTAGGTATTATTGATGATTGTGTAGATTTACAAGTGGGATCTGTTGCTTCTGTCTGGCTAGTATAGTCTTTGCTCACTGTAGATTTTATAACAAAGTAAAGCACAATGACTAGGATTCAACTGCTTAAGGACGATTCCATTAATAAAATAACGTGGGAAAAGTGACAGAAATTTTGCTTCTATCTGGTCAACTGGTAAAAAAAAAAATGATTTCAAATTAGATCACAACTCATATTGATGTCTAGCAAGGCTTACAAAATGAATGCTCATTATATTAAATTTAAAGGAATATCCCATTGAATTGTCACATTTATAGCGACAGTTATCTATGTACATATGAAATGTTTATTATTTGTCATAACATCTCCATCTGTTAAACTTTGGTTAATTTTAGTGTATGTATGAAATTATTGTTACATTTACAGTCATGTCTCATCTATGTTTGAAATTCTTATTACATTTACAGTGACATCTATGTTTTATCTTATAGTTACAGCAAGATCTCATCTGCTTTGTATTACATTTACATCAACATCTCATCTATATTTCACATTCTTATTACATTTACAGTGATATCTCATTCATGTGTCAAATTTAGATTATATTTACTGCAAGATGTTTCATATTCTTATTACATTTAACACATTTACAGTGATGTCTTGATTATTTATTAAATACCAATTTAATCTTACATGCTTTATCTGGCGTTTGATACATCTGATCAATCCATATCACACCCAAATCTGACTACTTGAGTGTCTCCTTCGAAATCTGTGCATAGACATTTTTTACAGAGTGAATCAAATTTTCATAAATCTCATATTGTTCTGAATTTCATTTATATTGTACTGTACAAATATTTTGAAAGCATACCAGTTGGGGGTATGTAATACATACAAAACTGCATTTATGTTTTGTTCCAAGTTAGGGGATTTTGTTGTTGTTGTTGGGCTTAATGCCATTTTTCAGCACACAATAGGCTATTCATGGCAGCCAGTATTAATGGTGGAGGAAGAAACCAGGGAAATCACAGGAAAGAACCAATGACCCACCAAAGCTACTGGCATGCTTTCTCACATATCCACATTCACCAAATCCTAGACTGAACACACACACACACACACACACACACACACACACACAGACTGAGGTGAGATGGCAGTGATCCCTAATGGACAGGGCTTTAGACTGCTTTAGACCCGCTGCTCGACTCGGGGCCCACCAAGTTAGGGGAAAGAATTGCCAACATGAAAAACTGGTGCAAGGTGACTGTTCTACATTGACTGTCTCATCTGTGCAGCAAATGCTAATTTGAAGAAAAAAAAAATTCCCTCAAACCCCTTCACTGCGTCTGTTTCCTTAGCAATGCTGTCTCATCTATGCAACAAATGCTAACATGAAAAACTGTTGCATTTTGCCTGTATCTATGACTTTTTTGCATGTTCAATTTGTGAAGTAATATTTATTCAATAATTTACAATTTAAAAAAACATTTCATCCTTTAATAAAGAAGACAAAGCAAAGAATATATTATTTGGGCCATTTTTAACAATGCCGCAAAACATTTCCATCTGCAGTAAACATCAGAAATTGCATATTAGAAGGCTGATGAAGGCAGTAATTGACCCCAACCTACAGCATATCAACACTGAATTCTGAAGGACCTGTAATATCCTGTTATCATATAAGACTTTTATACAAAATAATATCACATGGCAGTCAGAATATGAGAACAATCTGACCTTTTTAAAACAAAACTGGGTTGTGTGCAGAATTTAGAGAGATAGGTTATTGATCAAAATTCTGGTGGCAAATGGAAGCATGTTTGGTCTCTGTACATGACAACTTGTACAACCTCTACAGGACAACTTGTACAGTCTCTACATGATAACTTGGACAACCTCTACATGACTTGTACAGTCCTTACATGACAACTTGTATAACCTCTACACAACTTGGATAATCTCTATATGACTTGTACAGTCTCTACAGGACTTGTAGATCCTCTAAACTTGTAAGACCCTGACATGACACCATGTACAATCTCTACACAACTTGTACAGTCTCTACAGGACTTGTAGAACCTCTAAACTCATAAGACCCTGACATGACACCATGTACAATCCCTACATGATGACTTGTACAATGATTAGTTCCACCTTTTATTTAAACTTCTACAAACCTTATCTTCAATTGCTATTTGATGCAAATCCTTTAAGTTATTTTTGTAATTAAGTACCATTTGTCATTCCAGCTTTACAGTTCATTGATTTAAGAAATTGCCATACATTTGACATAACACTTACACAATGCTTAAAATTTGTGAGATTACATTAATATGCCATACAGTGATATAACACTTACACATACTTAACATTTGTGAGATTACATTAATTTCACAATAAAGATCATATTTAACTCTTACCCATCTTCAGCATACATGATATATTTCCTTAAAAGTTCTTGATTTTGTTGCTGGGTTTAATGCCATTTTTTAGCACATGGCGGTCAGTATTAATGGTAAAGGAAAAACCCCCAAACCCCCAGGAAAGAACCACCAACCCACGAGAAGCTACTGGCAAGCTTTCTCACATACCCACATTGGCCGAATCCAAAATGCAAAGACTTGGTAGATCTAGGTCTATGCAGTATGTCAGGAATAATTTGTAGATCAAACAAAACAGACCCTGATTTTCTGGTTCATTATTGGATGGTAGATCAGGGTCTGCTATTTGCTGTTGGTACATATAAAAATCATTGGAGATTTTCAGGCTGCAGAGACCTGCAGTACAAACTGACTCTTATTCTAATTCAAGCTGTTATATTAAAGCAAAGCCCTCCATCACACATAATGTGTCAAGTAGTATTCAAAGCAGATGATGGATTTGTCAAGTACTGAATTGAGAAATAAACACCTCTAAAAGCCTGTCCCTTCAAGAATTTATAACATTACATTATTTTCTCTCTTGGCTCCCTGAAGAGACTGAAAGGTGAATGGGCATGGTGCAACAAGCAAACACAATAAAAAAAAAGGGCCAGAAGGAGAAAGAAAGTGTGATTGGATAAAGCTTTCTAAATAAAAAATCAGATATCATTTTGTGAAAGTTGTGGAGGGGCTCATCATAGAAGAAATATAATAAGTACTTGAAGTTGATTTGAGGAGGCAAGTTGAGTGAAAATTCATCAGGACTGATGCTGTTTACCAAGGGCAACTTGATCAGCTGAGCAATTTGTAGAAGGAGCAAGTGCTAGATTTTTCCTGGATACTGGTTTCTTGGTAAAGAAAAAAAAATCTGATGTAAACTGTCTATAAAGAACAGTCAAGGGACCTCACAATATGTCCTGTATAAACTTTACATACAAGCATTCTTGAAGCAGATGATACAAATGTCTTTAATATCATCAGTCTTCATTTAGTTTTATTAATAAATGTCTTTTATACTACAGATGATACAAATGTCTTTAATATCATCAGTCTTCATTTAGTTTTATTAACAAATGTCCTTTATACTACGGATGATCTGAAAATAAAGATGTCTTTACAATCATTCCTTATAAATGTTTTATAATACAGATATCCTTTAAAAACAAGTGTACTTATTAGAGTCCTTCTTTATAAAAAAGTGTTATCAAGTAGTACACTTTCTATGTAGGTTAATGTCTGTTATAAGTAGGGGTCTACTATAAAGGTGTCACTGTAGTTACTTTGCTCCCCCAATTGATTGTGTTAACAATACAAATGTTAGATGGATCTAAACTTAAAGATTTGATCCAATGACACTTTTGTGTGGTACAAAAAAGTGATAATTTTTAAAAGAAGGAGCAATGAGGGTAAAACATCCTTTTTTCTGTACAAGATAAAATATATCTGGTATTGATGCAGGAATTTTTTTAGCATGTACCAATCTTCACTATGTATCAAACTGAACAACTGAAAATTAGCTTGAACTTATGCACCAAACATAGCTTGAACTTATGCACCAAACACAACACCCACCATCCCAATCCCAATTTACATGAACTTCATTTGTAGATTTAAAAGA